GATTAAATACATTAAAAAATAGATTCATATTCTCTTTATACAAGTGGGCCCTGAGGGATTTTAGAAAATAAAATTACCTTGACTTGTTCAAGTTTTTCTTTTAGCTGCTGCTCATTTCCAGGTTCAAGTGGAATACTGGTAATGTTATCCACTTCTTCCAACCATAAAACAAATTCATTTAAATCTCTTTGAAATTCTGACAAGATATTCTTTTGTTCTTCTAGCCTGGAGAGAGAAGAATAAAATTGTTACAAACAACATATTTCTCAAACTTTCTATTTTTTTAAAGAAAAAGCAAAACAAAAAATTCTGTCACACACTTTCAAGAATACAAGCAATGTAAAAAGTGTTAATACAATTTTTAAAAAAATTCATTCACTTTGATCAATTTCAATATCTCAAAAATCTCTAAACTATGAGATTAAAATTGGTCAAGAAAAAATCTAATTTTAAAATTCCAACATTATTTTATTAAACCAGTACAATGTTTCTCAAACTCAGCACTACTGATATTTAAGGCTGGATAATTAGTCATTAAGGGGCTGTTCTGTGCATTGTAGGAGGTTTAGCGGTATCCCTGGCCTTTACCCACTAGATGCCAGTAGCATTTCCCCTACCCCCAGTTGTGACAACCAAAAATCTCTTGCAGCATTGCCAAATATCCTCATTGCGGGCAAAACTTCCCCTGTTAAAGAACCACTGCACTAAAGCAAGTATATAATATGAAGTTGCATTTTATAAAATGTTTAAGATAGAATATACCTTTATGGACAACTTCAGAGTAAAGGAAAAATAAGGAAATTAAAATAAAAATCCTAAATTATCATGTGTTAAAATGTTTTCCAAATTATGTTTCACAATCCTTTTTGAAGAAAGAGGAAAATTGATTTAAAATTTAACATACATTATACTAGTGGAAGTTTTTAATTACAAAATGCATACACTATATGTTATTCAATTAGCCATAAATTTATTCTTACACATTGAATTGTAACACAGCTGAGCAAAATGATCTGCACCTAAAATAATTTACGATTTTTTTGTTTTGTTGTATTTTGAGAATATATGTGTGTGTGTGTGTGTATACACATACATATATATATATACACCTTGTATGTAAACTTTTAATTGAAGTATAATATACATATAAGAATGTGCACATATAACTGTATAGCTCAATATAGTTTTAAAAATTGGACATACCAAATAACCAAAGAAAGGAACAGAATGACATCAGAAGCTGAGAGGACCCTCTGTCTCTTATAGTCACTACCTCCAAGTATAACTAGTATGCTAGTTAAACGTTATGTATATGGAAAGAACCATATGGTATATATTCTTTTTTGACTTGTATTTTTTACTCAACACACACTTTACAATAATCATCCATATTGTGTGTAGATTAATTTCTTTATTCTCTTGGATGTTCAGTATTAAATTGTATAAATATCTCTCTGTTGGTGGACATTTGGGCTGTTTTCATTTTGAGGGTTTTTTTTTTTTTTGCTTTAAGTTAAATATTTGAGGGCTTACGAACTGTCAGGAATTCTACTGGGCATAGAATTCCCTTCTTGCATTCTACATACTTGTTTTCAGTGATTATATTGAAGCCCTTACCTTTGACTTTGGAGAGTTGAAAGCGGGGAGTGAGGGAACAGACCCTCACCACAAACACTGCACTCCCCACAGAGCTAACCATTTTACCCCATCTGAGTCCTCCTCTTAATTCTGACTGGGACATAGGGTACAGAGGAGGCTGGAAATCACTGGTAGTAGACATAATGCTACCGTCACTTCTCAGTTAACCCTGTGCGAAGTGGCTGGTCTTAACTGCTGGCAGTTTGTTTTAGAATGTGGGATAGTACCATTTTTCCTCAGACTCTGGACTTAGAAGCAATTCTGGAAGAAGAAAAAATACCACTATGGACATCCTTTGTTAAAAATTTGTAAGCCGGTTCAATTTTTCGGTCAAAGATTCAAGCGTATTTGTCAGTCTATCTCATTTTTCTCTTTTCTACTCTTTGCAGTTCTTTGTAACCTTTAGTATTTGACTCCAGATCATCTCGCACAGTGTCCCAAACGCTGAGATCACCTTATTTCTACCAATCTTCCTTATCTTAGTTAAATAATACTTTGCTAAAATCTAATTACACTTGTAAAACCTAGACAGATGTGTAAGGCTTTTCCCAATCTTCATCTAGAAACTGACGATTTCAGGGAGGAAAAAACCTCCAAAACCCAACAAACAAAAAGAGGAGCAATATACTTATTCATTGTACGTTGAGATTTATATATTTAATTGGAATCAAACTCTATAAACATTCTGTACTTATTTTCTTAATTTAATATTCTACTGTATTTCCTAAAGTCATTAATTATTCTTTGAAAAATCAATTTTAGAGCTGAGTAATAAGCCATTTATGAGTACACCATATTTCACCATTCTTCTGTAATTAGGCATTTAGTTTTGTTCCAATTTTTCATTATAATAAATAATCCTATAACAAATACATTTGTTTATGCATTTTGGCTTATGCACCTGCTAATTTCCTTGGAATGAGGAAGAAAAGTTAACTATAAGAATACTAAGGACTTAGGTACACATTGCATAATTTCTTTGCAGTGCTGGTAGTAAAAACACTCATATACTTCCAACCAACAGTTATAAAATACTTATCTCTACACACATTTATTATTACTGAGCATTACGATCTATATACTTGATAGAGGAAAAAATAGTTTGTCATGAATGTTTTTTACATTGTTTATTAATAGAAAATTTGAAAAAAAATTGTATATGTGTGTATATTTGTCATTTCTGTTTCAATTGTAAATTGTTTGCAGTCTGTTTGTTGCTCATTTTCCTCACTATTTTCTTGTTTTTAAGAGCTCTTTTAAGATTACCTTAAAATATATATTTATTGAGAATGTTTTTCCAGCTTCCCTTTTACCTTTTTGCTTTTTACATATATTTTTATTTGTTTATAAATAAAATTTCATCTATTTATTTCTTTGTTGTTTTTTTTCATTGATAATATTCTGAAAATTGTGACCATCCTACAATTGCTCATTCACCTTTACTTCATTCTGGATCCCTAAACCTTAATTAAAATAAAACAGATTACTAATAAATCTTAAATTTATATAGAGTTAAATTTCTGACCTTGAAGGAATCTTCAGAAATTGATATTTTTCTTAGCACAATCTATTCTCTATTGATTTGTGGGGATTTTTTTTCATTATATTTTGTATTTTTATATGTAATCGGGTTGTTTGCTGATCTACTATGCTGAGCTACAAAAACATGACAGTAATATACTACTCAACCATTTCAGCTTTAAAATATGTTTAATTTCTGGTAGGTTAACCCCTTTTCTTGCCTTAGCTATTCTAATTTATGTAATACAAGTATCATTTGGTCAAATTATAAAATAAATCTCACTGGGAACTTTGATAGAGATTCCATTAAATCAATAAATTAATTAGTGAAAAATTTACTGTCTTTCCACTATAAATCTCCTAAATTTTCTATGTTTACAGTGTTTTTGGATACTGAGAGTAGTACTCAGGACTCATCTGCGCACTATAAATAATTAAGTATGTTTTCTAATTAACCTTCAGCATCAGTTTGAAAGGCAGTGACTTGCTTATGATTTTATGGATATTAACTGTATACTAATTTAGAAAACCCTTAAGAACCTAGAGACAGAATAAATCATCATTTAAAAAGTAAAAGCTTTGGCTAAGCTATTTGCCATAATATGTCTTTTTATGCAATGTTTGTGGAAAACTTTTTTCTGATGATTTAAATTTTTAAGTACAGCATCTTTGGTTTAAATATGAAAACATTTGGTAATCATTTCTTGTCGAGCTTTGTATTTTATACTTTGAAATAGAAAAAAGATGGTGACCCAAACCCACCGGGACCTTGTTATAATCTGCTTTTCCAAGCACATGTATTTTCTGAAATTTCAAAAGCCTCGATCTGAAGTTTTAAAAGCTGCAATTTGAATTTATATATTCAGATGATTGCAGAAAAGGGAAGGAGCACAGTTAGCATTTCCAGGCTTGTCTCTTGACAGAATAGTTTAAGCATACTTTATATTGGCATTCATCACATGAAGTGTTATTTCTTTGTTTACCTACTCACTTAATGCCTATGGTAGGATTTATTCGGGCATTTGGTAGTAATAATAATGAATGAGACATTTAACATTACTCATCTGCAATTAAGTGCTAAATATTTTACTTTTAGAGGCATTTCAATACATTTAGCTATTTTTTTTTTTTTTTAAAGAATGGCTTCTGTTTGAAATATTGGCTCCGTTGCCATTTACATTATAAATGCTCTTAATGCAATTGATGGAAGCACATATTATGATGGAGAGAGATATGCATAATCAGAAAGGAAGAGTTACCAATATATTGTTTAATTCAATGAACTTAACATTAATAGTTAGAGAACACATTCTGTGTGGCTGCTCTTATAGTAAGAGGAAAAGACTGCAAATCACATCGCATGATTTTAGAGGGAGAATGTTTCAGGCCAAGTGCTGGATGTTTTCACATCTGAATCTCTTTTAATACTCAAATACTTCCCTTGTATGGCCTTCCTAGAATTCCCAATGAATAAATTGAAACCGATGGGAGAGGGGTTGAGGGGGGTTGGGTGGTGGCAGTGGAAAAAGGTGAAGGGATCAAGAGGTACAAATTGGTAGTTACAAAATAGTCAGAGGATGTAAAGTACAGCATAATCAATAATATTGTAATAATTATGTATGGTGCTAGGTGGGTACTAGCCTTATTGGGAGGATCACTTTGTAAGTTATATAAATGTCTAACTACTATGCTGTACACCTGCAATGAATATTGAAAGTCAACTGTAATTGAAAATAAATAAATAAATTGAAGCCCTGGAGATTTATATACCATATATATCCAGATACAAGGTTACTATCTCACTTTCCGAATGGGAAGTTTTAAGTTTTTGATCAACTATAACTCAGAACCTATGAAAAATATAGCTAGAATCAGCGCCTGTCTACGTATAATGCTTAATGCATCAATTTGATTGTACGTACTAATTTAAAATGTTATAAAATATATTAGAAAGATCGCATTTCCTCATTCACAGTTTATATAACAATTGTGTAAATATTCTTGACATGCATCTTCAACACTAAAATTGTCATCTCGATCTATGAACTTTTTGAGGCACCTAATTC